TGGTTGTTGTTGTTGTGGTTGTGGTTGTTGTTGTGGTTGTTGTTGTTGTGGTTGTTGTGGTTGTGGTTGTTGTTGTGGTTGTTCTGGTGGAGGTTGTGGTGGTTGTTGTGGTTGTGGTGGTTGTGGTTGTTTTGGTGGTTGTGGTTGTTGTGGTGGTTGTGAAGGTGGTTGTGGTGGTTGTGGTTGTGGTTGTGGGGGTTGTTGTTGTTGTTGTTGTTGTTGTGGTGGTGGTGGTGGTTGGTGTGGTTGTTGTTGTTGTTGGTGGTGGTGTGTTTGTTGTTGTGGTCGTTGTCGTTGTTGTTGTTGTTGTTGTTGTTGTTGTTGTTGTTGTTGTTGGTGGTGGTGGTGGTGGTGGTGGTGGTGTGGTTGTTGGTGTGGTTGTTGGTGTGGTCGTTGATGTTGTAGTGGTTGTTGTTGGTGTTGTTGTGGTTGGTGTGGTTGTTGTTGTTGTTGGTGGTGGTGGTGTGGTTGGTGTGGTTGTTGTTGTTGTTGTTGGTAATGTGGTTGTTCTTGTTGTGATTGGTGGTGTGGTTGGTGGTGTTGGTGTGGTTGTTCTTGTTGTTGGTGTGGTTGGTGGTGTGGTTGGTGTTGTTGGTGTGGTTGTTGTTGTTGTGGTCAGGTGCTTGTCGTGGTTGTGGTTGTTGTGGTTGTGGTGGTTGTGGTTGTTGTGGTGGTGCTTGTGGTTGTTGTGGTGGTGGTTGTCGTTGTTGTTGTTGTTGTGGTGGTGGTGGTGGTTGTTGTGGTGGTTGTTGTGGTGGTTGTTGTGGTGGTTGTTGTTGTGGTGGTTGTGGTGGTCGTGGTGGTTGTGGTGGCTGTTGTGGTTGTGGTTGTCGTGGTTGTGGTCGTTGTGGTGGTGGTTGTTGTAGTGGTGGTTGTTGTTGTTGTTGTTGTTGTTGTGGGGGTGGTGGTGGTGGTTGTGGTTGTTGTGGTGTTGGTTGTGGTTGTGGTTGTTGTGGTTGTGGTTGTGGTTGTTGTTGTTGTTGTTGTTGTTGTTGTGGTGGTGGTGGTGGTGGTGGTTCTGGTGGTGGTTATGGTTGGGGTGGTTGTGGTGGTTGTTGTCATGGTGGTGGTTTCGGTGGTGGTTGTCATTGTGGTGGTTGTGGTTGTTGTGGTGGTTGTTGTGGTGGTTGTGGTGGTTGTGGTGCTGGTTGTGATTGTGGTGGTTGTGGTTGTTCTGGTTGTTGTGGTGGTTGTGGTTGTTGTGGTTGTTGTGGTGGTTGTGGTTGTTGTTGTGGTGGTTGTGGTTGTGGGTGTGGTTGTAGTTGTTGTTGTGGTGGTTGTGGAGGTTGTGGTTGTGGTTGTTGTGGTTGTGGTTGTGGTTGTCATTGTTGTGGTGGCTGTAGTGGTTGTGGTTGTGGTGGTTGTGGTTGTTGTGGTGGTTGTGGTTGTGGTSGTTGCTGTTGTGGTTGTGGTTGTGGTTGTGGTTGTTTTTGTGGTTGTTTTTGTGGTTGATTTGTGGTTGTGGTGGTGGTGGTTGTGGTTGTGGTTGTGGTTGTGGTTGTTGTTGTTGTTGTTGTTGTCGTTGTTGTGGTGGTGGTTATAGTGGTGGCGGTTATTGTTGTTGTTGTGGTGGTGGTGGTGGTTATTATGCGGGTGGTGGTTATGGTGGTGGTGGTGGTGGTGGTGGTGGTGGTGGTTGTTGTTGTGGTGGTTGTTGTTATGGTGGTTGTTTTGATTGTTGTGGTTGTGGTTGTTATGTTTGTTGTTGTTGTTGTTGTTGTTGTGGTTGTGGTTGTGGTTGTGGTTGTTGTTGTGGTTGTGGTTGTTGTTGTTGTTGTTGTTGTTGTTGTTGTTGTTGTTGTTTTTGTTGTTGTGGTGGTGGTGGTGGTTGTGGTTGTGGTGGTTGTGGTGGTTGTGGTGGTGGTCGTGGTGGTTGTTGTTGTTGTTGTTGTTTTGGTGGTGGTGGTCGTGGTCCTGGTGGTGGTGGTGGTCCTGTCGTTGTTGTTGTTGTTGTTGTTGTTGTTGCTGTTGTTGTTGTTGTTGTTGTTGTTGTGGTGGTGGTGGTGTTGGTTGTGGTGGTTGTTGTTGTTGTGGTGGTTGTTGTTGTGGTAGCTGTGGTTGTTGTTGTTGTTGTTGTTGTTGTTGCTGTTGTGGTTGTTGTTGCTGATGTGGTTGTTGTGGTTCTTGTTGCTGTTGTGGTTGATGTTGCTGTTGTGGTTGTGGTTGTGGTTGTGGTTCTGGTTGTGGTGGTTGTGGTGGTGGTTGTGGTGGTGGTTGTGGTGGTGGTTGTGGTGGTGGTTGTGGTTGTGGTTGTGGTTGTTGTTGTTGTGGTGGTTGTGGTGGTTGTGCTTGTCGTTGTTGTTTTGGTTCTGGTTGTTGTTGTGGTTGTGATTGTGGTTGTGGTTGTTGTGGTGGTTGTTGTGGTTGTGGTTGCTTTTGTGGTTGCTTTTGTGGTTGTTTTTGTGGTTGTTTTTGTGGTTGTGGTGGTGGTGGTTGTGGTTGTGGTTGTGGTTGTGGTGGTGTTGGTTGTTGTTGTGGTGGTGGTGGTGGTGCTTATTGAGGTGGCGGTTGTTGTTGTTGTTGTTGTGGTGGTGGTGGTGTTGTTGGTGGTGGTGGTGGTGGTTATTATGCGGGTGGTGGTTGTGGTGGTGGTGGTGGTGGTTGTTGTGGTGGTGGTTGTTGTTATGGTGGTTGTTGTTATGGTGGTTGTTATGTTTGTTGTGGTTGTTGTGCTTGTGGTTGTTGTGGTTGTGGCTGTTGTGATTGTTGTTGTTGTTGTTGTTGTTGTTGTTGTTGTTGTTGTTGTTGTTGTTGTTGTTGTTGTTGTCGCGGTTGTGGTTGTTGTTGTTGTTGTTGTGGTTGTGGTTGTGGTTGTGGTTGTTGTTGTTGTGGTTGTTGTTGTTGTTGTTGTTGTTGTGTTTGCTGTTGTGGTAGTTGTGCTGCTGGTGGTGATGGTTGTTGTTGTGGTTGTGGTTGTGGTAGTGGTTGTGGTTGTGGTGGTTGTTGTGGTTGTCGTGGTGGTTGTCATTGTGGTGGTGGTGGTCGTGGCCTGGTTGTTGTTGTCGTGGTGGTCGTGGTGGTTCTGGTGGTTGTGGTGGTGGTGGTGGTGGTCGTGGTGGTGGTGGTGGTGGTGGTGGTCGTGGTGCTGGTGGTGGTGGTTGTTGTGGTGTTGCTGTTGCTGTTGTTGTTGTTGTTGTTTTTGGTTTTGTGGTTGTGGTGGTTGTGGGGGTTGTTGTTGTGATGGTGGTTGTTGTTGTGGTGGTTGTGGTTGTTGTCGCTGCTGTTGTGGTTGTTGTTGGTGTTGTGGTTGTTGTTGCTGTTGTGGTTGTGGTTGTGGTTGTGGTGGTTCTGGTGGTTGTGGTGGTGGTTGTGGTGGTGGTTGTGGTTGTGGTTGTGATTGTTGTGGTTGTGGTTGTGGTTGTGCTTGTGCTTGTTGTGGTGGTTGTGGTTGTGGTTGTGGTGGTTGTGGTTGTTGTGGTGGTTGTGGTTGTCGTTGTTGTTGTGGTTGTGGTGGTTGTGGTTGTGGTGATTGTAATGGTTGTTGTTGTGGTTGTGGTTGTGGTGGTGGTTGTGGTCGTGGTGGTTGTGGTGGTGGTGGGTGTGCCTGTAGTGGTTGTTGTTCTTGTTGTGGTTGTGGTGGTTGTGATCGTGGTGGTGATGGTTGTGGTGGTGGCGGTGGCGGTGGTGGTGGTGGTGGTGGTTTTTGTGGCTGTTTTTGTTGTGGGTGTGGTTGTGGTTGTGGTGGTTGTGGTGGTTGTTGTTGTGGTTGTGGTGGTGGTGGTGGTTGTTGTTGTTGTTGTTGTGGTTGTGGTTGTGGTTACGGTGGTTGTTGTCGTTGTTGTGGTTGTGGTTGTGGTGGTTGTGGTTGTGGTTGTGGTTGTGGTTGTGGTGGTGGTGGTGGTGGTTGTGGTGGTGGTCGTGGTGGTGGTTGTGGTTTTGGTGGTTGTGATTGTGGTGGTTGTGGTTGTGGTGGTTGTGGAGGTGGTGGTGGTTGTGGTGGTGGATGTGGTTCTTGTTGAAGTGTGGTGGTCGTGGTGGTTGTTGTTGCTGTTGTTGTGGTGGTGGTTATGGTTGTTGTTGTTGTGGTGGTGGTGGTGGTTGTGGTTGTTGTTGTTGTGGTGGTGGTGGTGGTAATTGTGGGGGTTGTTGTGGTGGTGGTTGTTGTTGTTGTGGTGGTTGTTGTTGTTGTGGTGGTGGTGGTTGTTGTTCTGGTGGTTGTGGTTGTGTTTGTGGTGAAGGTGGTTGTTGTGGTGGTTGTGGTTGTGGTTGTGGCTGTGGTGGTTCTGGTGGTGGTAGTTCTTCTTGTGGTGGTGGTTGTTGTTCTGGTGGTGGTGGTGGTGGTGGTTGTTGTTGTGGTGGTTGTTGTTGTGGTGGTTGTTGTTGTGGTGGTGGTGGTGGTGGTTGTGGATGTGGTGGTGGTCGTGGTTGTGGTAGTGGTGGTTGTGGTAGTGGTGGTTGTGGTATGGGTGGTTATGGTCGTGGCGGTTGTTGTTGTTGTTGTTGTCGTTGTTGTTGTTGTTGTGGTGGTGGTGGTGGTTATTATGAAGGTCGTGGTTGTGGTGGTGGTGGTTGTTGTTTTGGTGGTTGTTGTTCTGGTGGTTGTTATGGTAGTTGTGGTTGTGGTTGTGGTTGTTGTGGCTGTGGTTGTGGTTGTTGTCGTTCTTGTTGTTGTTGTTGTTGTTGTTGTTGTCGTTCTTGTTGTTGTTGTTGTTGTTGTTGTTGTGGTTGTTGTTATTTTTTTTGTTGTGGTTGCTGTTGTGGTTGTGGTTGTTGTTGTTGTTGTTGTTGTTGTTGTTGTTGTTGTTGTTGTTGTTTTGTGGTTGTTGTTGTGGTTGTTGTGGTTGTTGTGGTTGTTGTGGTTGTTGTGGTGGTTGTTGTTGTTGTCGTGGTGGTGGTGGTGGTAATGGTGGTGGTCGTGGTCGTGGTTGTTGTTGTCGTGGTGGTTGTGGTGGTGGTGGTGGTGGTGGTGGTGGTGTACGAGTTGTTGTTGTTGTTGTTGTTGTTGTTGTTGTTGTTGTTGTTGTTGTTGTTGTGATCGTGGTTGTTGTTGTTGTTGTTGTTGTTGTTGTGATCGTGGTTGTGGTTGTTGTTGTTGTTGTTGTTGTTGTTGTTGTTGTTGTTGTTGTTGTTGTGGTTGTTGTAGTGGTTGTTGTTGTGGTTGTGGTTGTTGTTGTTGTTGTTGTTGTTGTTGTTGTTGTTGTTGTTGTTGTTGTGGTTGTTGTAGTGGTTGTTGTTGTGGTTCTGGTTGTTGTTGTTGTTGTTGTTGTTGTTGTTGTTGTTGTTGTTGTTGTGGTTATTGTTGCGGTAGTTGTGGTGCTGGTGGTGATTGTTGTTGTTGTGGTTGTGGTTGTGGTTGTGGTAGTGGTTGTGGTTGTGGTTGTGGTGGTTGTTGTGGTTGTCATGGTGGTTGTTGTTGTTGTTGTGGTGGTGGTAAACGTGGCCTGGTTATTGTTGTCGTGGTGGTTGTGGCGGTGGTGGTCGTGGTGGTGGTGGTCGTCGTGCTGGTGGTGGTGGTGGTCCTGTTGTTGTTGTTGTTGTTGTTGTTGTTGTTGTTGTTGTTGTTGTTGTTGTTGTGGTTGTGGTGGTTGTGGTGGTTGTTGTTGTGGTGGTTGTTGTTGTGGTGGTGGTTGTTGTGGTGGTTGTGGTTGTTGTTGNTGTTGTTGTTGTTGCTGTTGTGGTTGTTGTTGCTGTTGTGGTTGTTGTGGTTGTTGTTGCTGTTGTGGTTGTTGTTGCTGTTGTGGTTGTGGTTGTGGTGGTTCTGGTAGTTGTGGTAGTGGTTGTGGTGGTGGTTGTGGTTGTTGTGCTTGTGGTTGTTGTGGTTGTGGCTGTTGTTGTTGTGGTGATTGTGGTTGTTGCGGTGGTTGCGGTTGTAGATGTTGTTGTGGTTGTGGTTCTTGTTGTGGTTGTGGTTGTGGTTGTGGTTGTTGTGGTTGTTGTTGTGGTTGTGGTTGTGGTTGTGGTTGCTTTTGTGTTTTTTTTTGTGGTTGTTTTTGTGGTTGTGGTGGTGGTGGTTGTGGTTGTGGTTGCGGTTGTGGATGTGGTTGTGGTGGTGGTTGTTGTTGTTGTTGTGGTGGTGGTGGTGCTTATTGTGGTGGCAGTTGTTGTTGCTGTGATCGTGGTGGTAATGGTGGTGGTGGTACTTGTGGTTATTATGCGGGTGGTGGTTAAGGTCGTGGTGGTAGTTGTGGTGGTGGTTGTTGTGGTGGCGGTTGTTATGGTTTTGTGGTTGTGCTTGTTGTGGTTGTGGTTGTTGTGCTTGTTGTTGTTGTTGTTGTTGTTGTTGTTGTTGATGTTGTTGTTGTTGTTGTTGTGGTTGTTGTGGTTGTTGTTGTTGTTGTTGTTGTTATTGTTGTTGTTGTGGTTGTTGTTGTGGTTGTGGTTGTGGTTGTTGTTGTTGTGGTTGTTGTTGTTGTTGTTGTTGTTGTGGTTGCTGTTGTGGTAGTTGTGGTGCTCGTGGTGATGGTTGTTGTTGTGGTTGTGGTTGTTGTGATGGTTGTGGTTGTGGTGGTTGTTGTGGTTGTCGTGGTGGTTGTTGTTGTTGTGGTGGTGGTGGTGGTCGTGGCCTGGTTGTTGTTGTCGTGGTGGTGGTGGTGGTGGTGGTGGTGGTGGTCGTGGTGCTGGTGGTGGTGGTGGTTTTGGTGTTGCTGTTGTTGTTGTTCTGTTTGTTTTGTGGTTGTCGGGGTTGTTGTTGTGATGGTGGTTGTTGTTGTGGTGGTTGCGGTTGTTGTCGCTGCTGTTGTGGTTGTTGTTGCTGTTGTGGTTGTGGTTGTGGTGGTTCTTATGGTTGTGGTGGTGGTTGTGGTTGTGGTTGTCGTGGTTGTGGTTGTTGTTGTTATGATGGTTGTGGTTGTGGTGGTTGTGGTGGTTGTGGTTGTCGTTGTTGTTGTGGTTGTGGTGGTTGCGGTGGTTGTGGTTGTGGTGGTGGTTGTGGTTGTTGTTGTGGTTGTGGTAGTTTTTGTGGTTGTGGTTGTGGTTGTGGTTGTTTTTGTGGTTGTGGTTGTGGTGGTGGTGGTTATGGTTGTGGTGCTGGTGGTGGTGGTTGTGGTGGTGGTCGTTGTGGTGGTGGTGGCTGTGCTTGTTGTGGTTGTTGTTGTTGTTGTGGTTGTGGTGGTTGTGATGGTGGTGGTGGTGGTTGTGGTGGTGGTGGTGGTGGTGGTTGTTGTGGTTGTTGTTGTGGTGGTTGTGGTTGTGGTTGTCGTGGTTGTTGTTGTGGTTGTGGTGGTGGTGGTTGTTGTTGTTGTTGTGGTTGTGGTTGTGGTTGTGGTGGTGGTTGTCGTTGTTGTGGTTGTGGTTGTGGTTGTGGTGGTTGTGGTTGTAATTGTGGTTGTAGTGGTGGTGGTGGTGGTGGTGGTTGTGGTGGTGGTTGTGGTTCTGGTTGTGGTTGTGGTGGTTGTGATTGTGGTGGTTGTGGTTGTGGTTGTGGTGGTTGTGGTGGTGATGGTGGTTGTGGTGGTGGATGTGGTTGTTGTTGGCGTTGTGGTGGTGGTGGTGGTTGTTGTTGCTGTGGTTGTGGTGGTGGTTGTGGTTGTTGTTGTTGTGGTGGTGGTGGTGGTTGTTCTGGTGGTCGTGGTTGTTGTGGTGCTGGTTGTTGTTGTGGTGGTT